GCTCTCAGACCTCCCCCCTCAGTGGTCTCCTGTCAGGCCTGCCCCCCCCGCCAGATCTCAGACCTCCCCCCAGTGGTCTCCTTTCAGATCTCAGCCCCTTTCGTCCAGTGCTGGCCTGGCCCGGAGCAGGTGCCCGGAGACCCCAGGTCTCAGTGAAGCACAAATGAAGTCAGACCTGGCTTGGTGGCTAGAGATGGGGGTGGGGAGGGGAGATGGGCTCAGAGACTCACGGCCAGCGAGGGCAGGTAGGCCTTGTCCTTGGGCTGAGGGCTGCTGTCACCAGCCGCCTTGGGCAGGGGCCGCTCCTGCAGCCAAGCCAGCAGAGTGGCCAGCACTAGGCGGCTCATGGGAGGCTCGGCGCCGAGTGCCCTCCACAGGCGGAAGGCGTGGCTGTGGGCAGACAGAGAGGGCGTGAGTCCGGGGCTGCAGCTTGGGCCACCATGACCAGGGCCTGGGCTGGGGAGCCCAGGGTGGAGGCCAGGCTGGGCCCCTCCCCTGGACCCTGGCAGTGTGGGAGGCCAAAAGGTGGGCGAGGATGGTCTGGGTGGTGCGGAGGGGCATGAGGGGACCTGTGTGTGCATGGCGGGGTGTTCCGAAGAGACTGGGCCAGCCACCTGCCCCCCTCGCCCCCCGGCCTGGGTCCATGCTCATGGGTCGAGCTTGCACCAGCCTTTTCTTGGTCTCCCATCCAGGTCGCTCTTCACCCAAGGCTGGGACTCTTCTAACCTGACCCTGCCTCCCTGCTGCCTGTCACCTTCAGTGGCTCCCAAGTACTCAGGACAGAGCCAGCTGTCACCTGCTTCCCGCTGCTCTCTGACCTCCAGCCACCCTGCCTGCTTGCACTTAGTCTCCTGCCCCTGGGTCTCCACAGGGCTCTTCCCCCTCCTCATCGCCTGCGCAACCCCCACTTAGCTTGTGGAGGCTCACCATAGTCACTTCCTCTTGGAAGCCTTCCCTCCCCACCTCCCTCCGGCTCTGGGTTGCTGAGGTCCAGCCCCCTGGGCCCCAGCAGGCCGCCGTCAAGTGTCATCACGGGATTTGCACGGAGCTTTGGAGTTTGTACTGTGCCCTCACGCCCATTTCACAGGTGGACAAAC